GAAACGTTGGACTAGCGTCGGCTCTGCAGGTGTTTTCACATCATCTGCAGTAAATCACATCCTGACGTAACCCCCCCCCCACACACACACACACACAGCTCAGATCTTGTGTATCTCGTGTTCTGACCCTCGCCAGCAGCAGCTTTTCATGCTCCGAACCAGACGTCTGCGACGAGCTGCCAGTGAGTTTCTTCAAAGTCAAATTCACTGGAGAAGCTGCTTATTGAGTAAACTAATTATTTTCTAATCTCACCACACACGTCTTTAATCTGATGCATTTAGGGACCCGTCAGTAAAAATAACACCGGCCCTTCACAGACAGATTGACGCCACGGCCCGAGCCGTCTCTGCAGAAGAGTTTTTTTTTTTTTTTTTTTTTTTTTTAGCTCAGTTGTCCCTGGGGACACAGACTCAGTTTTAACATGGCTTGATGGGTCTCCTTGTTTCTATTCTTTGCACAAAATTTGTATTATAATATTAATGATTTAGGCATCAGTTTTAGAGATGAGTATACTGTATAAGATTTATTTTACATGTTAAGATGTGTTGTGTTTTTCTTTATTTGTGATTGTTGATGTTGTATCCTCAGTTTCTCTACAGACCGAGCTGCAAAACATCAAGCAAACATACATTATGATTATTATAATCGAAATCGTTCATATCGTTTATTATTACAACTGTTGTTATTATTTAGTTTTCTGCTGTCGAGCCAGAGTCTGTGAATGCCACGTCCTCTCTCGGGTCATTTCCCGGGATGCGACCATACCTGGCAACCCCGGAGACGCAATCCGTGTCAATTGCCGGGCGACGCAGCTCCGAGCAGAGGCCGGAGCCTGAGCGTGAGCGCGGCTTCTCTCCCTGAACGTGTTCGGCCTCTTTTGTCCGGTGGATGGTTTGAGTCCGAGTGAAGCCTGTTGCCTGCGGCTCGTCTCTCCGCGTCGTCGCCGTGTGTGTGTGTGTGCGTACTTGTGCGTGTTTCTGCGCCTGGATGACAGGTGTTCCCGGGGAAGAGGAGCGCGCGGGATGACGCCTGAAGCTGCGATCTCTCGACGCAGAAGGTGCATCAGGGAGGTTTCTGCCTTTGTTTTCTTATTGTTTGCGCTGTAGACACCGAGAGGCGCAGAAGAGGAACCAGAAACCACGGAATGTTGACATGTTCCCTCCCGAGAAGCGTCAATAATAATGGAGAAC